GCTTCTGAAGGGCCGAGGGGGAGCCTTGCCTCTCCATCTCTCCTTAAAACTTGCTCCTTGCTGATGTAGTTGGATAACACGCTTTTTGTGCGATATAAGCAGCTGATTTTTCACCTGTGAGTTCCTGTGGTAGCACAGTAATTCCATGGCTTTAACAAAGTACTGAAGAGTGATGAATTCATACCGGTAACATACTGCAGTGGTCTTCAAAAGGTGCTCTGGTGGGGGTTCACGAAACTTTGGAAACTGTATTTTCTGTGAAGGGGGTGAAAGGTGGTATGAGATGTACTGGCCAGCAAGAAGCTGCATGGGTTCATAATGGTCTCTGACCCCAAAGGTCTGCAAACCTCAGAGCTAAGATCACTTCTCTCCTGAGCTATCTGGAACGCTTAGCGGGTGTTTTCAGGTTTTTGAGGGTTGATTTGTTTGGGGAGGGGTGTTAAAAGAAGCAGGCACTTAATTCTTCCCTCCAATAAGTGCTTATTTCATGAACTTCATTGAAATGCTAATAGTAATTTTTGCCCTTTGTGTTTAAATAAGTATATCAAAATGATCAGGCTTTAGGAAGAATGGGTGTGACCTATTTCATTAACTTATTTCATGTTTTTTTGTTTATTTCAGCTCTTCAGAGAAGTAAGAATAATGAAGATCTTAAATCATCCAAATATAGGTACCTTGTTTCTTTCACATAATTTTCAACTCTGGAGAAACTTCGGCTTTTTCACTGTTAAAATTGTTATGGTATGAGTTTAAAAGATGATTCTGCACTAGGGTGTCAATTTACTGTAAAGTAGCAGTAATAAATACTTTTTCAGAGCTGTGTCTTTAAAAAAAAAAAGTTTTGGTCCCTTTGCAGAAAACTGTTATTTGCATAGCTAACTGGTAGTTTTGCTCCTTTTGAGTATAATACTGATTTTGACTGAATTCAGGCTCTCATTAAGAATAAGTATATACTAAAACCAAGAAGCGCTCAAGAAATTGTTCAGGATTGTACATTTAAATGATGTAGCATTGTTACGGGACTGTCAGCAAACTGACTGATAACTCATTTGTCACCATGTATGCCAGTTCAGTGCATAAGAATGCCTATTGCTGATGCTCAAATCTGCGGACGTTCTGCTTAATTTAGTTGGTTTTCCCATGTAACAGAAGCAAAGTATTGTTTCTTGAGAAGATGTTGTTCTGTATGAATTGACCAAATGTGTTACATTATTTTTCCATTTAGGAACATTAGACAGAAAAAGCTTCTTTAGAGTAATAGTCTGATATTGTCAAGCAGCAAGCAAACAGGTTGGGTGTTTTTTTCTGACAGAATTCTCTGTGGAGTTAACATAATACTTCTGCAACTAGTTAACTGATTAATACTGGCTTTCTTTTCTAGTGAAGCTATTTGAAGTCATTGAAACTGAAAAAACTCTCTATTTAATAATGGAATATGCAAGTGGGGGTAAGTACCTCTCTGCTGCGATGACACATGTAAACAAATTGCCAAGTGGGAGAAAGCACTTGTTTTCTTTAAAGTTTTGCTTGCTTTTTCAACAAATATTAATGTCCTGGTAGTGTAAAATCTTAAGCAAAATCTTTAATATTCTCTGGGACTTCTTTGGGCAATATAATTAATTATAACTTTTAAAACCAACTTCTGAACTTATTGCAACTTAGTAACATTTGCTTTGTTTTCACAACTCAAATTTAACAGGAATCTTTATTGTAACGTTCTAACTAATTCTATTTGTTCCTGTCTAACAAATGCCAACCTTCTTAATTTATTGTATTCAGCTCCCTACCTCTGGGGCCCTATTTTGTATCAGATATTTGGTAGAAACCTGTTCAGATGGAATATTTCTGTGTTTTTTAACTGTTGCTTTCAAAAGCGCGAGTACTGCAACTTCTGTTTTTTAAATGTTGATGACATTTGACATATCTTGATCACAGACCTTCTGCTGTCAAGAATTGGTAGGCTTAGCCTTATGCCGTTTTAGGAGGAACTTAAACATTTATTCCTGATTGCAAAGGGGGAGAAAAAAAACACACATCATGCAATGTCAGATATTTTCACGAGAGCTAGAATTAAGGTATTTGGTCTTAAGTTACTCCTTCCTGGCTAAAACCTAATAGCACTCAGTTTGTCAGTGTGACCCTTTAGCATCAGCAGCTGGGAATCTCAAATAGTTGAGGCTTTTCTTTAGTTTTGGGAGGGAGATAGAGAGACTTCTTTTCAGAGAAGATCAGCGTTGAATTCTGACTCCGACTTTAGATTACGTGAAGTTTAACGAATTACTGTAAATCAGGTAATGTTTCTCTACCTGCCTATGTTTTCTTCTAGCAGCTCCCTAAATGCTCAGCCAAGATTTTTCTAAAGAGAAACAAAGTTGGTAAAACACCATTAAAATATTGGCTACTACAGGTGTTTGTGGAGGCATCTCTGTGCTGTTTGATGGTACTAGACTTAAAAGTGAAGTCCTGTTGCCATCTAGTGATTAGCTTCTAGGAGGTAGAAGGGCCAGTGGTTCTCTAAAACAGTGAGGATCTTTCTTAGGGTAATGGAGAGATACATACTGCACTGATCTAAAAGGCTGTGAGCAGTGCCCTTTGCACATGCTGTGTTGTGCAAGACAGGAATTGCTGGTAATCTCAGTGGCAGGCATCAATTTCCCATATTTCCTCTTTATCAAGATACTGGTCATGCATGATGCAGATGAACTCTCTGGCTGCAGGATGACAGAAACTATTGCTACAACTGCAACACTTTGCATAAATTCGGGTAATTCTTTCTCTGGTGTCATTTTCCCTGAATTGTGAAGAAGTGTTCAGGTTTGTTCCTTCAAGGTTTTGAAGAAACAGCTATGAAATACAGCTGAGAGTGTTATCCAGGTTGAGTATTAAATAATATACTCCAGAGGGAAGTAAGGCTACTTTGTAGAAAATCCTGACATTCCCTCAGATTGCTCAGTTGTTGCTTTCCCTGCTGTATGACTCTGGGGTTTTTATTCAAATTTGGTGGAGTTGCTTCTTTTCAAAAATAAATGTGAAGTTACTCAGCTCTTCCCTTGTGAAGTGGCTATCTACAAAACAGTGTTTTCTTGCTCAGTAGAGAATATTTAGATATTTGATCCACTTCTAAAGTTTTTACTAATTTTGCATATTAGCAAAGAATATTTAGAACTGTGTACTAGTCTGTGTTTGTAGAAGTTCTTATGTACGTGACTTGGGTTTTAGTAAAGAAAATCTCCCATGCTCTCACAAACATGTCAGTGTTTCATGGGCCAGTTGGCTGTACCTAAAGCTCAAACGTTGTAGTCTGTATTGACGTGCTATAAAATGACTGCATTGATTAAAGGGGAAAAAACCCAAAACACAACAGAACTTTTGGTACTGCTTTAGTAATCTCTTAGTTGTCCACAACCATACAACATTGAGCTTGTTCAGGAGTAATCCTTCTCAGTGTATCTTACAAATCTGATGGTTGTGTGATGGATTATGTCAGTGTGTCCTGCTGTGCTCATTATTGTGACCTTCCTTGTGGGTACCTCTTCCAAGCCTAGGTTAAAGCTAAGATTTCTGATTTTGGTTAGAACATGTTTATACATATGCACAAAGAAAAATTCTAGTGCTGATATGACAATATTTACAAATATTGTCAGATGTTCTCATATATGAAGCTTTTTTTTTGTGGGGCAAAAGAAACAGTTGTGAGAAAGTCTGTGAAAGGGTACATGTCATCTTTATTTACAAAACAGAAATATGCTGCTCAGTTTCTATCATAAATAATGGGAAGGAAATTTTTTTTTCTATATCCAGTCATTCATTAAGTCTTATTATTTTTCTTGTATAAGAGGTGACGGTGTAGTAAATTGCATGGCGGTTGTGCCTTGTTCTCTTGAGCTAACCTGTCATCATAAACTTGAAGTACAGTCATTCCAGTGAAGCTGCTGTGGGCAACTAGAAAGGAATCTCTAGATTCTGAAATTGGCATTAATGTATCATTATTGAATTGTAGGGGAAGTGTTTGACTATCTGGTTGCACATGGAAGAATGAAGGAAAAGGAGGCTAGAGCTAAATTTAGACAGGTATGTATAACATTACTATACATCAGCTTCCCCCCCATTTTTAATGCTGAAATGAGTAAAACGGCTGTCCTTTGCGTTTGACTTCTAGCAGTGTTCAGCATGTTGTGGACTTGTAGCCCCGAGTGAGAGAGAACTTGGGTTACAGTAGTACTTCGAAGGGGTTAGTCGTCCATTCAGTGGTGCTAGTTTCCTTAGTGCTGTGTGTCAGGGTGTCCAGGAGTGCCAGAACACAGTGACTGCTTGATTTGGAAGCGTATTCCATCCCAAAATTCATTTCCTCTGGGTTGTTTCATATATCCTTAGTTCAGCTGGTCTGTAACCTTATGGAAGTTATTCAAATGTGACAGGCTACAAACAGGCCAGTTTCAAAATGCAAGGCAGTGCCTGTAACAGGCATCCGTTCACATCCATCTGATTACATGAAAAGGTGCAGTTTAATAGTTATTCTAAAAAGTCATGGAAAAGTAATTTCTAGGCTTGTTAGTTTAGCTTTCTTTATGATGGATAAACTAGCCCTGCAAAGATGTTGGAATTTCATTGATCTGTAAAAAGCTTTTCCATTCTACAGTAAAGCAGTATTGAACATAACCAGATATTTTTGCGTAACTAATTAAAATCCACATCTCTGTTCTTGTAGCATCTAGAGTTTCATTTGCAGATCCGACTGGTCTGATACACTTTGATTTCAGCTCTTGTGCAGAAATTTGTAAATGCCTATGTTATTTCCATCCCTTTGGTCACTTGGATAAACTAGATAATGTTGGGAAAAGTAATAAATGTCAAAATTATGCTCCTGCTTAATGACACTTTGAAATAATGAATAGGGAAAAGAGTGTTTTATTGAATGATATGTAGGGGTTTTAAACTGGTGAATTGTGGCAATGACATGACACTGTTGGAAGGGGAGGCCCCGATAGCTTCAGTTCTTAAGTGTAGCCATACAAAAGTAGAAGAAATTTGATATAATATATGAGACTTCCAGGAAATTGATTCACGACTTTCACAAAATGCCTTGTAAAGAAAACATTTACGCTTCCCTAGTGTGGGTAGCCTGACCGAAAGGAACAATCTGGGAACTAGGAAACTGTGCCACAACTGTTTTGCTCCCTCTGCCTCATATAGTAAGAATTGTGTGAAAACAATATAAACAATAAGCTCAAAAGTAGCAATGAAAGTAAATAAAAATAGAAATGTATTTAACCTAAGGAGGCAACAAAAGCATTTCTGTGAAATCTTCATTCCTTTGTTTTCTGTCATCTCTTTTAATCTTGTATTTACCCTCTTTAATCTTTTGCAAAAAAAAAAAAAAAAATCACGCAACACCAAAACCCAACCAACCAAAACAAGCAGCTGCAGACTTCGTATCCCCAGAAGTGATTTGTGATTACTGGAGCTATACAGCTTGATAGTAAGGAAATTTTTCTTTCCTCTTCAACAGAATCTTAAATGTCTTTTTAAAGCTGCTTCTCTCCCTTTCATATTCCGGCAGGTAGAAAACTTTCCTTTGTGATGGAGGGTTTCTGGTATGTGTTTCTGTGCTGTGTTGGAGTAGATGTGATGCGTTGTGGAGCAGTCGTTCCCACTTCAGCCGTCTCCTCTAAATCCCAGACTGTTGTCTTGCTCTTTGTAATGTCACTTGAAGAGTTTCAAAGTGACTTGAGAGGATTTGCTCTTCTCTCTGATATGAATGTTGAAAACTTCTGCTGGTATGGTTCTCTGCTCTTTGTCCTCAGTTTCTTTTATCAGGAGCTGTGTGGAAAAAGATCTTGCAGTAATTCCATTGAAATTGCACGTTTGTTCAACAATTACCAATTTTTTTCTAACAATTCGTCTCACCTTTAAGTGAAAACTTGTGGAAACAGGTCAAACATGTTTTACAGGTACACTTAGTGCTTAATTTTATGGGATAATGTGGGTAGTACAGGATATATGTGACTTCATTTTTTAAAATCAAATGTGAAGGGAAGGAATTTAATAGTTACCTGCTGAGCTGGGTATTTGACCCATCAGGAGTTGATTTTATGTACTTCAGACTCTCAGCTTGATTTTTTTCTTTTTTTTGTACTTTGGTAGACTAAATGCTGTTTGTAAAGATATATAGATGGCCTTGCTTGAATCCACTGAAATATGCAGAAGTATGTTTTCAGCCTCTTACAAGTCTTGTCTCCTGGCCCAGGCGGCTGTGCTCTGTCCTCCAACACCTGACTTCCCAGCTACTGAGCTCAACCAATTTTAGAGGACCTTGATCTCAAAGATAGGAGGTTCTTGAGAGCTTCAAAAGCATGAGTGCCTGGAAAAAAAGAGAGAACCCTAGTAATAACCCGAGGAGAGAAACTATAGCATGAGCATATTGCACTTTGCTAGAGAGAAGAGCATGCGCGCAGGACAGAAGTCAGGAAACTTTGATCAGTGCTTGGCATTTATTAGATACTAGGACTCTGACTGTGGGACAGTGTCAAAGGAAACTAGATCTTGCTGGGTTTGCAGGTCATAAAACTATTCATTTCACCTTACTGTAGTCCCAGAATAGCTTCATATAGCTTTTAGCCATTGTTGGAGGGAGAATGCTCTCTGTAGACCTTTTATCTGATTCAGTGCAGCTGTTCTCATGTTAGATAGGGACTTATGACATAATAGGGATTTTTTTTTTTAATTGACTAACTGATTTAACAGACAGTGGCTCTCTTTAAACTGAAGAAACAGTTGTGCCATGGTATCGAGCTTAGTTCTTACAATAGGTTGTATTATATCTTGTTTCCAGATCATGTTTCTTCTTTCAGTAGATGTGATTTCTGGATCAAACACTTGTGTTTTATCTGAGGAGGTACTACTTCTATAGCAGGTGAAGAGCAGAATTTGGTAATTCTCCCCTCTTTGCTTGTTAAAAAATTATTTTTTTTGTCCATTTTGTTATGCATACTTAAGGTTTTTAGCAGGAAAAAAAGAATGTAAAAGACAGTGATTGCATTATTCCAGTCACGCTTGACAAGGAACACAGGAGAGGGTACAAACACTAAAAATACAGCCATGCTCTGCAGTTCTCCATTTCAAGCTCCTTTTGTGCAGCCATGTGTGAGAAATTCAAATCCAGAATGTTTTGCATTCGTAATGTCACCTTGTTTTTCTTCCCCTGTTACAGGCTTTCAAGCAGTTCTGGTTCAGTCTTACCATCCTTTTTCCATAGAAAAATCTGCTCATATGGATAAGAATTAATGCAAAAAATGGGAAGCCAAGACTTAGGGCAGGGGGTCTGCCAAAATTCATGTGTGTTACTGCCCTCTCTTCTTCTACTGCAGCTGATTAGATCTGGCCTCCTTCAGTCCTCCGACTGTTGCCCTGCAGAAGCAGTTTAGGATTTTTAATGCTGGTAGATGTTAGGACAGATCTTGGAAAATAAAAAAATCCACAAACTATATCTTACTTGTACATTCCAGTTAAGAAAGAAAATACTCTTGACAGTGTGGAAGGGACCTTGAGAGGTCATTTATCTACCCTTTTGTCATTTAGTCCTTATGAAGAATGGTTTGTCTGCCTAGAGATAACTTGTTCTAACTTGTTCTTTAAAACCTATGATTATACAGATTTTTGAAATCCCTCCCAAGAATTGTATTTCAATGCTCCAATTGTTACCTCTAGCAAAAAGGTCTGCTGTTTCTTCCCCTCTTCTCCCCACCTGCCAAGCGTCAGCAAATTTCTCACACTCAAGTAGGTTGGGGGTGAGGGGGCTGTCAATGGAAACAGTGATGGAAGGTGGAAGACAAGGGAGTCAATCCAGTGCAGCCGTGCTTTGTGCTATTTTTCATTCAGTTTTGACTGCTGTTTTTCAATTATTAATGTCATGCACATTGCATTATTCCCCTTCCATGTAGACTGGACTCCCTTCTGCAGTCTTTGTGCTATCCTGTTGCAATGCAAAGTAGTTCAAAAGCATCTCCAAAGGAAACTGCTGATTGATCATCTGCTAGACCTTCTGCTCGTAGATAGAGTAAAAGTTTAGGAGCGAGTGGTATAGTGCTGTGTCTCTGCAGTCCGGAATAAAGCTTGAGGTGTTTGTCATGCTTGTCAGCCTTGGAAGCACCTGCAGAGCGAGCTTGTCACTGGCACTGAAGTAATGGTAGTGGAGAGGAAAGGAAGGAAGACCAAAAGGATGGTACAAGCAGTGGCATGGGAGCACTTCGGCAGTTTTCAGTAACTGTAAAAAGCTGAACTTGGAGCCTGAAAGAGGGAGCCAATGCATAAAGGAACAAGCAAAAACAGAATGAAAGTGTAGGGAGAAATATTTCAACTTTTCATAGACTGCTTGGTTTCTAAGGTGGCATTTTGCACCTGTGTGATTCAATAATACAGGGGCAAAAAGATTGTAACATTGGTGCTTAAGTTTTGAATGCAAAATTGGCTGGTAGGTCAGTTCTTTGACCTACCAAGAACCTTACTTTCACCTACTCTGTATTTGAGGACGAGAACCATTGCTTCTTGCCAGTACAGGAGGATCCTTAAGCTGGGCAGTCTGATGATGAGTTATTTTTTGTAACAGTAATGATACCTCATCTTTCTGTGTTGGAAATCTTAATCTTGAACAAAGAATGGAAATACATTTATTTAAGTGTAGTTATTACATTAAATCGGTTTTATGTGCAGTTCCACTTATTTTAAGGAGTCATAATATCTGCCTCAATTCTGACCATGTATGTGTGACAATAAAATGTATTTGACTGCATTTGTGATCATGTAACAATAAGGCTTTATCCAGCTTTTCCATACATGTAGAGTTCTGCAGCAATGCTTATGACTTTAAGGCAATACTGTACTAGGACACTGTACTGTGTAAATAGCTCATATAGTTTGCTGTATAAAGCAGGAAAAACTTAATGATATTTGGAAATGATGATGGAAGAAATTATTCCGTTACACTTGAGAGGCATAGAGAGTTTTTTCCATTGAGCTTGCTACTCTTGTACAGTATACAAAATACAATAAACCATATGCACTTAGACAGCAGGCCTCTGTCAGATGCACAGTTGCTTCTCACTGCGTAAGTTTTGACAAACAAGCTGTTTCCCAGTAGCTTCTGCAGTAGCTAAGCCCATTTCTTAGCCTTTTCATGCTGCGGCATGAAAAATCGCCTTTGGAGAGGGACTGGAAAACTTCAGTCTAGAGGGAAAGCTTTTATAGCTGTATACAGTATTGGAGTGGAAATACTTCAGTAACCTTTCTGAAAGTCATTGCTTCTACTGGTCTATAATTAGCCACACAGGAAAAACAAAATCCTCTTTCAAGTATAGTAGAAATGAAATAGATCAAATAACAAACACCTAAGTTATTTCACAGCTTTCCCTCAAACATGCTGGTCACTGTCATAGTTGGTTGTGTAGCTCTGAGTGGTAAGTACCTGTCAGCTTTAGTAATAAATGTTGAACTTTTTGATTAAAACTTCTGTTTCTTTGAGATGCCACTTATATAATTGGGCTTGTTTTCTATCCAGATAGTATCTGCAGTGCAGTATTGCCATCAAAAGCATATTGTTCATAGAGATCTCAAGGTGAGTAGCAAAAAGTGTGCGAAGTGTGTGTGTGTCAGCTTCTGTACCTGTGTGATCTTTGTTGTGCCGATAAAATGTAGTGTTTAATAAGCTGATTTATTTATTTTTTTGCATGTGTTTATAGAAAGGTTTGAGAAATATTTACAATATAGAACTATTTCACATAAAAGGAAGAGAATTTGTAAGGCTTTTAAATATAGAAATTTATTGGCTGCTGAAAGATAGCCTCTCACCCTGTAGTCAGATTCAAATCTGATGCACGTCAGTGTTAGCTGAGAGGTCTTTGGAAAAAAAGAAAAAAAAAAAAGGTGGTTTGATAGAGATATGACAAGTTTTGGTCTTGAACAGAATGAATTACCAGTTGTGATGATGAAACTGAAGTATGGCTTCTTTGAGGCTTGGCATGAAATGGTATATCCCTTCTTTAAACTGTGCCTTTTATATTAATAGTGTTGCTACATAACTTGTTCAACATGTCATAGCTTTGTAAGGTAAAAAAAAAACAAACCCAAAACCAAAAAAAAACCCAAACGAAAACAAACAACAAAAACACCATGCAAAATAAACCCCAAACACCACCACCAAAAAAAAAAAAACAAACCACCACCTGAAAAAAGTTTAAGGTTATGTGTATTACCAAACTTTTGCAAGAATGACACTTAATGTATGGATAGTGAGACTATATCTTGTTTCATCTTAATAGATCAAAAATGTAAGTTACAATACCTCAGGATGCGTTTCTGTGGAGAAAACAGCTGGTAATAAGACAGTTTTTTCAGGTAGCGTAACAGCTCCCATAGTCTGAAGCCATTGTACAGAGATTTTTAAAATAGGGGATATGTGAATGATAGACTAAAACATACCTGAAGACCTTGCAAGGAAGGGAATGTTAACAGATATTTCAGCTTTTTGCATTTTAAGAATGAGTGAAACAGACAATAGCATTTTAAATCAAGTATTTTAAGTTCATCTTACAAACCATTCTTTCTCTTGCAGGCTGAAAATCTATTGCTAGATGCAGATATGAACATTAAAATAGCTGACTTTGGTTTTAGCAATGAGTTTACAGTTGGAAATAAACTGGACACCTTTTGTGGCAGCCCACCATATGCTGCTCCAGAGCTCTTTCAAGGGAAGAAATATGATGGACCTGAAGTAGATGTTTGGAGTTTAGGTGTTATTCTTTATACCCTTGTGAGTGGATCTCTTCCTTTCGATGGACAAAACTTAAAGGTGCGTTTTTGTAGAACACATTGGGTGTATTTACCTAATGTTTTAAGTGATTTGCTGCTTACAACTCACTGTCTGTTCTTCTTTTGTTACCAAGGAACTTAGAGAAAGAGTGCTAAGGGGAAAATACAGGATTCCTTTCTACATGTCCACAGACTGTGAAAACCTCCTCAAACGTTTCCTGGTGCTAAACCCAACAAAGAGAGGCACTCTAGAGGTAATGGCACAAATAAAGTGCATCAGAAAGCTAGGCATAATATTTTGCAAACTATATTTTTGAGCTGTAACTTGTTATTGTCATACCATTCCTAAATAGTTTATTTGGAGTGGCTTGGGGGGGGTTGATTGAGTAAAGCATATGTCTTTTTTTTTTTTTTTAAGATTTTGTTTGCTGGGGTTACAAGACACCTGACCCCACAGTTACTTTCAAAATGAATGTGAGACTACACTGCATATGTTGTATGACTTTTCCCGATGGCTACATTGTGGATTCCTGCATTAATGAGTGATCCACCAGGGCATTTTCCACATTTTCAAATGTGAACTGGAAGTATTGACTGCTAGATTATGGTGTGGCTGCCTTTTGCCAGTGTTTTGTACCATCATGGAGCAGAAAGGCCAAAACAATACTGGCTTACGTGGACTTCCATAGTCAAGCCTGGACCTACTAGACTTGTCAGAGTTGACGCACTGCTCCTGGTCTGTGTTACGGACTTTTACCTTTCAGCTATGTGCTAGAATACAGCTGACTGGGAAGCAGCTTGGCTTGATGTGCATTGTTGATTCTCCTCACTGGAGCAAAACAAAACTGAGTAGGTGCTGGGGCCTGTTCTGGAAAAGAAAAATTAGAAAAGGCCTTAGTGTGTGGTAGATAGGGGAGTTGTTCTTTCAACAGCTCATTTTCTTTGCCAATAAGTGTATTGTACTAATAAAACCCTTTCTTTTATAGCAAATTATGAAGGACAGGTGGATCAATGCAGGGCATGAGGAGGATGAACTTAAACCTTTTGTTGAACCAGAACTAGACATTTCGGACCAGAAAAGAATAGGTAATGGAGTATTTTTCAGAATATGATACTGTTTGCATGATGTGGGTGTGTTTTGGGTTTTTTTTGTTTGTTTGTTTGTTTTTTTTCCCTTCCACCACTCTGTATTTGTTTGCCATTTGGAAAAAGTAACTATTCTTTTAATATTGATACTTCATCAGGCTTATGTTCTCACACTTAATTGTTTTGTTTAATTCTTTAAAGGTTCCATTCTTTCTCTTGAACTTAAACACTCAGCCAGCCTAAACATCACAGTGTTTGTTACTTAAAGAGTCTGTGTTTGTTTTTAGATATTATGGTAGGAATGGGATATTCTCAAGAAGAAATTCAAGAATCCCTTAGTAAAATGAAGTATGATGAAATCACAGCTACATACTTACTGCTAGGAAGGAAATCATCAGAGGTAAGTATCATTCTTACAAATGCAAAGAAACAAAGGAATCTGAAAGTGTGGTTAGCAAAGTTACAAGCAAAAATTAAGTCAGTAACTGTAGGCATTGCAGTCCTGCACAAAAGTCCATTACACTTAAGATCACATTATTCTAATCATCAGTGTCAACTGTCCAAATGATGCTGTGTTTGTTCTCACCCTGATCTGAGTCAGTAAACTCTTGCCTTTAGGCTCCCCAAAACTACCCTGCTTGCTCAGCAGTTACTCCTCTGAAGGACTTTGTTAGTGCCAGTAACTGCCAGTTACTGCCCAGTCTAGTCTAGGAGCTCAAGTGTGAATGTGCCAGCTGTAAATATTTCAGGAGAACCAAGGAGCAGGACCAAACAACCTAAAAAGGTTCTTGCATTGTAGATTACCTTTCCATCTGCTGAGAGGGCTCAGCATCAGTAAGCTGCTCTTGGTTCCTCTGCTGGAGGAGTTGGTGTGGTGTCTTCTACTAAATGTATCCTCTCTTCTGTTAAAATCTTAGAGAGCTCTGAGGATAGAGTACTGAAAGTAGAGATGGATTTTCTTCATCTGATTGTCCTTTGAGGAGCTGCAGATTCCTCTGAGTTTCGCCCAAGACAGTTGCACAAGCATCTAAGAGAATTTGGGGCCTCTAAGCAAATTCCTTGCTGTCACAAGATTTCCTGTGTACCAGAGCCACCTTCCTTCTGCCTCCCTGTTACTGCTCCTATAATGTGGTGGATGTTTAATTTATTTTGTCTGAACTTGTTTTAATATTCTCGTTTGTATTGTAGTTGGATGCAAGTGATTCAAGCTCCAGCAGCAATCTTTCACTTGCCAAAGTTAGGCCAAGTAGTGATCTTAATAATAGCACTGGACAGTCTCCTCATCACAAAGTTCAGAGAAGCATATCTTCTAGCCAGAAACAGCGGCGGTACAGTGATCATGGTGAGCAATTCTCATTTTCAGTGTTGCAGAATATAGTGACTTCCAGTTCCGTTCGGTTTCTGAATTTGTCTCCATCCCCCAAAGGTAAGGAGGATGACAGCAGTGTAGCTCACAGCATGGTGGTTAAATAATTTACTGAATAACTAATTTTTTTTTAAAATTGGCTTTCTTACAAAGCCTTCAAAAACAGCTTCTAGAGGAATGCTGAATACACCAACTTAATTCTCTTATTCTGCCTTGTGTTGTCCCTTGCATTCCTGACCGTGCTGGGAAAGTCTTGTTACACAAATTGAAGAGAATGTTGCAACCCCCTTTTTCATGAAAAGCACGGCACTCCTCCCCCATGCTCTTGTGTGTCTGTTCAGCTTTTGTTTTCTTTTGACACCAGTAGGTCAGCTTGTGTCTAAAACTTGGAAGAAATGACAATTTGCCAATATTTCTTGTGTCCTGAGGGTAGTGTCACTTGACTGTCCTGCAGGAAATAAATTTCTAAAGATCAGTGACTCAGACAAACTTAGAACTCTTCCGCTTAATGAGCGTGGAGGATAGTAGCTTAGGGTTTTCTAGATATCTTAAACATCTTCCTGCCCAGACACTAACTCATAAAAGGAGTCTATGTTTAGGTCTACTTTTAAATATCTCAAGTGCATTCAGAGGTTGTTTCCCTTGGGGAGTCTCCTGGGATGACAGTTATTGTGTTTTATGATGCCTTTTAATATATATTTATTTTATATATATTTTTATATGCATTTTTATATGTGTGTGTATAAACATACACTTTTTAATTAATTGTTATTAAAACACTGACTACAAAGTTGATGTATCTTGATGTATCTCTTCTGAGGAGGTGTAATTGAGATGGCAGGAAACACAATCCTGACATCCCCACAGGCTTTTTCCCAGTGTCCAGGAACCTATTAAAGCAAGAGAGAGCTTGGGGCTGTTGAAGGGGCGGCCTCGTTCTCAGTGTTCCTGGCACACCCAGGGAGGGTGGTGGCAGATCGCCGCTGCTTCTGGGCTGTTCAGGAGCGCAGTCCGCCGGCCATTAGTGCCACTGGTGGTCCAGGGTTGTGTCACCACGTACCTGTCTCAGGAGCCAAATTTTATCAGAAATTGGCTTGAACAGCGTGTGCCAGCTTTGTGCTAATGAAGGATCCTCTGACTTGAATGAGAATCAGTTAAGATTCTAAAGGTTTTTTTCCTACCAAACCAAACTAGTGTCAGTACTCAAACACCAGAAGACTCCATTAAATTTGTAATTCTTTCATGAAAATCAAGTAATATCTTTGCCTAATGAATTCAAATAATTGTCTGTTATTATGGCTCTCCTGTCCTTAGCAAGGTAAACAGAAGAGAGTTACCTATCTTTGAATTGTGATACAAGGGGAAGCCTTACTAGAGTTGACTTGAATATCAAATCTGTCAGATTTTATTTACAAAATGGGGGGCTTTGCTTCAGGGTGTCATGTCCTTGTGTTGTCATCGCCTCCATCCCGTCCCCCCCACCCTTAAAGAGGGGGAAGAAAAAAAAAAAAAGAAACATTTGGAAAGTGTTTTGTTTTTCACAAAATTTTACTGTCATCCAAAATATGTATATTTCAATAATTTAAATAATTACCCTTTTGCAACTCTGATTTCCAGTGTTAATTGTTTTGATTCTCGTGTGTGAATACATTTCCATTGCAGGGAAGAATAGCTAATGGACTTCCGAGAAGAACAATCCTTTTTCTGTTTCTTTTGTTTTTCAAGCTGGACCCTCCATCCCCTCAGTAGTGGCATATCCCAAAAGAAGCCAGACTAGTACTACAGACAGTGACCTCAAAGAGGAAGGAATTCAGTCAAGAAAATCCAGCAGTAGTGCTGTTGCAGGAAGGGGAATTGCACCAGCTAGTCCCATGCTTGGAAATGCCAGCAATCCCAATAAGGCTGATATTCCTGAACGTAAGAAAAGTTCGGCTGTTCCTAGTGTAAGTAGAAGTGCTTTTTTATCAAAACTGAAATATTTTCGAGGGGTGGAAAAAGTGTTGAACCTGTGATTTATCAGTGGTGTTGGTTTTACTTTTCATTCATCAAGAGTAAATGTATGTATCTCATACTCTTGCCTCTTCCCCCCCCGCCCCGCATCAGTGAGCTACTCAAGTTACCTGTTAATATTCCTGAAGTAGTTAGTAGGTATTAATAATTAGCACTAGCAGCTGTTAGTGAACAGACATAATTTGGGTATTAAAAAAAAAATAAAAAAAAAAGAAGAAACTGAACTCAAAGGCTGTCTCCTGAAATTTCATATGAGTTATTTCTGCTATCACCAACTTCTCTTCTGTGGCCTCTTGTACAGAAGAATGAAATCTCTATTTGTATTATCCCGTTTTATAGTTTCACATGTTTAAGGAACCACCTAATCTTTGTTCTCAAACAGGCTATTCCAAGTCATAGTTACATATATTAAGATTATCAAACAAATGTAGCTCTATAAACTATTCAAAGATGTATTTCAACCTGTGTTTGAAAGCAGTGTGCCTGGCTTTTGTCCTTGTGGGCTTCCCCCATCCACCCCTGAACTCCAACAACAGCAACAAACCACTCTTAAGGTGTGTAACTAGTGAATTTACAGGGTCGAGCAGTAGGCAGTGAGCTGAAAGAAAATCCTTTATTCAGTTCGGCTTTAACTTGTATACTCGTGGTGCCTCCCTCTGAGGCAAAGCTGGAAATCTGTTTTCATATAATTGCGTACAGTATATTGTTCATATACTCTTGAGTCTTGTAATATTTGATTTCTAAAACTTTGGGATTTTGTATTGAAAAACTTCCTTCTTTTCAGAAGAAATAACTTCCCAGTCCTTTATTCAACTTGCAATGGAGTGTTTTTTTGGGTTTTTTTGTTTTTTTTAAACTCTAACCCACAAAGCTGTCATATTTGCTCATATACTCAGCACCATTACTTAAAACAAATGAGAGCAGAACTTCCTGAGCTTACAGCTTTTTGACAATCTGAAGCAAAAGAAGTAAAATAAGATTTGTTTTACTTTATTGGCTCTGCATTGTCAGTTGGCTCAGTGGCTGATAGTGACTTGGCTGGAGGATTTCAGTCAAACAGATTCCTTGGAAAGACACGTTTTCTACTGCAGCAGCTGTTATTCATAAATGTGAACAAGAGCTCATGATTTTGGGGGACCCTTTTTTTTATTTTTGTGGTCCTCTGCCCTTTCCCTTCTTGGTTTTTCATCAGTCCAGAAACCGTTCAGATTTTTTTCTTCTTACATGACAACCCTTAGCTACTGAGTCTCAAAATGGTAGGATAATCAAATCAGTTTTGTCCTACATTGGACTTTACTCAGCATTGTGTAGTGCCTTATTCAAGGGCTTTGCATCACAGTTACGACATATTTTACATTTAGTGTCTTTAGTATTTTGATCTGCTGTGCTACACCACTCTCAAATCCACTAGTCTTATTTCAAATTTTGTACTACTGTAGCTGAAATAAAATTTCAGCTCATAACCATAGGATACTTCTCTCTTCTGATTCAGTGTGCAGCTGATCCAGCTGATCTTTTACAAGCAGTGGTACAAGGTGGTGAACATGGAATCAGACTGACAATGTCACTTAATTAGTGTTTAAAATTGTCTCTGTTTTATAGCTTTCCATACTGTGCAAACTCTCTTTCCCCCCACCGCCCCGCCCTAGCGATTAGTCTTTCGCTTTCTAGCTGTTGGGGATGGAGGGAAACACTGACTTTTTACGTAATTCCTGGAACTGATTAGAGAGTTCCATTTCTTATGGTATTGGCGTGCATCTAGAAGGTAAAAAAAGAATGTTGGAGTTACCATATTGTCCTGAAACTGAAAAAAGTTTGAGGTGGAGAGTGTTTGTGTTCTCACTGAGCACTTTAGTCCTAAAATCAGTAATATGATGAGAAGATCACTGAAGAGACAGAAAAATACTGTTTAAAAACAATTATTACTTTGACAGATACAGCAAAAGTAGTAGAACTGGTCCTTGCTGGAGACCCTTAGCCAGTTGTGTGCTGCTCTTACTAAATTACAAAGCTTACAAGCATGCACTTAAGGATAAGAGTTGTGCTTGTAGAGCAGATAGGTAAGTCTGGGGTTGGAGCAAGGGGCTCCAAGCTGTACTTCTGAAGTTGACAGAGCATTTAAACTCTTGCAAAAGAAATAGTTCTGCAAGCTGAACAAGTGCACGTGAAAAATCTTCAGGTTCATTGGGCAAATACTAAATTAATAACGAAAACCTGCTACAGGGGTTGCATAGTTAGCAGCAACTAATAACTCCTTCTTTATTACTCACAGCTTTGGATTTTTCCTCAATGCTTGTAATAAGGCTGTCCCAGAGCCCTTAATGTAGCTTTAAGAAAACTGGAAGAGGAGAATAGATGGTATGTTTGGAAAATCATTTAGGACCAAATAACATATTAGCGCTCTAAAATAGATAGATTGGTTCGTTATTGTAAGTCAGAAGCTGATTTCTTTGGAAGTTTTTCATCAGTCCTTGCCTTGGTGTCTCTTAATGTGAAAATAACCTGCTTAAGCAGCGGGCACAAGATTCTAGGTCCTAAAGAGGAGGACTCTGTACCACAAATTCATCCTTTCTGCTGTGATTGGACCTTGTGCATACGCTCAGAAGTCTGAACATATCTGCAAAGAAGGCAGACGATGCCACGCGGATGAACTTATGCAGCTAACCCTAATCCTCGGGGTTGTCATTCCGTCAGGGAGCATGGTGCTGTTGACACCAGTTTCAGGCTTCCTGTGGTGTGCACCTGTGCAGCTTAGCCGTGTCCAGAGATTAACAGTCTGTAGATTGGCTGAACAAAAATGTCGTAGCTGAGGAGCTTCCTAGATGAATCATGAAAGGAGGTCATAAGACTGTATTCTTGCTGAAACTGAAATTTGAAAGCTTGAAATGCTTCAATCTCCTCTCGCAACCTCTGAAATCTGAGCAAAACAACAACAAAAAAATGGATACTGATCCTTCTGTCTTTGTATTCCAGAAAAAGAGCTGGGAAAGCACATGTTTAGAGTTCTCTGATTTCAGATACGAATACCAAAACTTGTTCACTCCCTGAAAGCACATAATCTTTAAAGTTTGATCCAGCACAGAGATTGCTGTCTTGACTTTCTAGGTGTGCAGCATCACAGTACATTTTAATGTTATGTGGTGTCTTCTCAAGGGAAAAAAATGTTCTGAGGGAGCAGGTGGAAAGAAGGAAGCCACCCATTATTCTGCATATTTCCCACGAGACAAACACTGTCAGATATTCTAGGTGCTTCGTTTTCTAATATGTTCAGGAATGCAGGACAAAATTATATACAAATATTAATATTTAATAGTTTAATGTACCATTTGGTTTGCAAGGGCTCCAGAAAGCGTCTTGCACAGCATGGCCTCATGAACGTATAAACAAAACTTCACTCCCGGTGCACAGCTTTCATTGCTAGCAAGTTTAGAAAAGGGAGGGTAGTTTGCACAATGGCAAATGTCAGAGGAAAGTAGAAGAATCAATGTATTTTTAAAAATAAACAGACTTGAAGAAGAGGGATGTGTAAGGAATAAAGTACAAGGAAAGGGTGAGGGGGACTTCTGCTGATGCTTGGCACATGCCTATCCCTAAGGAATATGCAGTGAAGAATACTTGGGAACCCTTGAGACAACTACATACATCTTGTGATTTAATTAATAGTTCTGCTAATCTAAAATACTCTTTATACTCTTTGTACTTCTTAACACCAGGAGGTTGCGCAGTTCACTTTTTCATTTTTATTTGTCCATTCACGTAAAGATGTGTAACGTCAGCAGTCTTTTAAACAGACAAGATGGCTTCATTGTTAAATCTGCAGCTCAGGGATTGTGTTGCTTGAGACTCCCTGTATAGCAAATATTTTGCCTTAAGGCACTGGAGGAGCTTTTGCTGGTTATTGAGAATACTCTACTTTAACAGTTTTATTTCAGGTTCGGAAACAAAAAAAGGTTTGGCTACTCTCCTTTTGTGCTTGAACTGGTTTTTCCTTCCTTTTCTTTTATCCTCCTTCCCACGATTCTCTGCTGTGACCATTTATGTGAAACCTTTTCTTAATGCTATTTTAAGAATCCGCTGAATTTCCCTTGTCTATCATAGCAGTAATTCTTCAAAGAACTCCAAAAGGTTAGTTGAGCATGAAGTCCCCTGCCTGATTCTTAGTGGCCATCCTTACTCAACATGTGCTTATCCAGGTGCTGACCAGTCATTCCCTTAAGCTAGCCTCCTCCAAGACTTTCCCCAGCAGTGATGTTTAAAGTTAATATCCTATTTTGCTTCCTGCTTTTCCCCATGATCCTTTTCTTTAAAGAAAATTTTTAAAGGTTTTTTCCACTTTCCAACCATATGCAGTTTCCTGTGTTATGTTCTTGGGGTGGGGAGAAAAAATACAAGGCTTGCCAGCTCTTACTTCCTCTACAACCTGGGGGTGCATGTTTATCTGGACCACCATGCTTTTCCTGCAGTAATTGCATCTAACTTTTTATAATTCTGTTATCTGTGAATTACCTAGCTTCTCAGTCGTTCCTGGAAAATTGACCGCCAACTTGGGCATATCTCCACCCTCTTTCTCTGTAAAGACAGAGGCAAAGTAATTCTATTTCTTTTCTCCCCTCTTAAGTAAGGTCTGTAGTTTAAGTTCCCCTGGCTCTCTTGTCCTCAATGTATTATGCTTGTATTTAAATGTATATTTTTAAAAATGTCTTATTAAAATTCTCTGCAATTTGTCTCTAATTTCACTTATTCTTCCCTGGTCTTAAAACTTGTCTAGTGTTTTATAGTATTTTAATATTTGAAAGTCCATGTTTACCTTCCCACTGAATTTTACCACATTTTACCACATTTGTTTCTTAAGTCTTTGCTTTTCCTATCTTGTTCAAGGTTATGATTTTAACTGAAAGGAAAATTCTACAATCTATAAGTGGTAAAGTATTTCAAAAATAGGCTGTAAAGACATAGGCTATCCAGATGTAGATGAATGCTATACATGCTGGTAATTTGTAATTCAGAACATTGGTAATTAAAAACTTTAAGCAATATTAATTTTGAGCTATCAACATGAAATACGAGAACAACTTCTTAGAGATTGCATTATTCCTTAAAAATACTGAAAGGTGTTCATATATTAACTTATTTAATTATTGTAAGTTTTAAAACTGTGTAGAACTAGGATGAAGTAAAACAGCCTTCAATTATATGTAGACTTAACCCCAGAAAAGCCTTTTGTGGGGAATAACAAGCCTATGTTTTTTAATTGTAGAATAATACTGCCCCCGGAGCAATGACACGGCGCAACACATATGTTTGTAGTGAAAGAACCACTGCTGATAGGCATTCAGTGATACAAAATGGCAAGGAGAACAGGTATATGAAATGTCTTCCTATGGTGTATGTCCCTTGTCTTCACATTTCCAAAAAATTGTAATGCCTGATTTAAAAATCAGTAATACTCTAGTGTAATCCTTAATGAAAGGTGAGTACAGATCTCCGGTTATGAAGCACCTGTAAGTATGTTGTTTTTTTTTTTCTATGCTTAATTCATGCAGTCTTTATACTTAGAATGTAAAAGGAAGATCCTAATTTCTGGTTTAATACATGTCATATTTGTACAGCCTTCATCTTAAATCAGTTGTTAACTCCTGTGGACAAATAACATATGCTTGCAGAAGAGGCTTGTTTAGTGTCAGACTACAAAGTCTATCTCTCTTGGGCCATTCTCTTTTTACACTTCACTCTAAACTGTACTTTGTTGGGATTATTTGGAATACCGTTTTTTCTACGAAGTTTCAGGGAGAAAGTCAATTTTTTCTGAGCAAAGATGAAACAGTGATAGGCCATTGTCTTGGACTAATAATGTTCCTTACTGATATCCTTGTAGTCTAATTGCTTCCCAGTATTTTCAGAACTCCTCTTGAGAAGGGAAGCACTGGTATCTCCATATTCTGAGTGAAAACAGTCAGAGAAATAACAGGTTTCCTCTTACTTTACTGAATGAAAGCCTGACTGGAGCGTGCAATGGAATTCAAGTTAACCAGTTCATGTATTAGCACTATAGCCACATCTATTCCCATCCTTCCCTGTGTACCAAGGACTGAGGAGAACTGTAGAAAATAAATATAATAGTGAACGTAGACATTAGGTATAGAGTAACACGTGAAGAATACCACCAAATTTCCTGGCTGGCTGAGGTGCTTTAAGTTCTAACCAACTGTTCTTCACAGAATTTTACTGGTCTCAAAAGCTGGTAACAATTAAGTAGTTGACCGGCGCCAGGAGAGCACCCAGATAGCTCGTACTTAATAAAAATGCTTAAGCTTGGAGGAATGTGTACCTCTCTCCCACTCTTCTCAATTTTCTCCGCCTCTTCCTAATTTTATGATATATTGTAAAGGGTGGGAAGAAAATACTTTTCTTCTAGCTCACCTTGAAGTTGGTGAGAGATGTGCCATTTTTTGCACAGAATTTTTCCCCTTCCTTTTGGCCGTTTATAAGGAAGAGTGGCAAAGTTGTGATGTTGAATGGAAAGTCTGTCTGTCCCTCGTTTGAGCCCTGGAGCCTAGGGACAAAAGAACATGATTTTGACCCTGTCTCTTCCTCCTAGCTTTCTGCAAACCGAAAGTGATTAAGGCAAAAGTCAAGTATAAGTTTGAAGAGTGCCAAAAGTCTAGCTGGCCAGCTGGGCCTGCAGTCAACTGTCTTGTGAAGTACAGCACAGCTATTTGGTACTGTCTTTTAGTGTGTCTGTCTCAGCCTTCATTGGTTAGTCCTTGTTAATGTTACCAAGTTTGTTTAGATTAAAGCTCACCATCCTTTCTTTGATTTGATATGCTAATAGCTTTTTTCTTTCCAAACTCTTTGAGAAATGAATCTTCCTGTCCAAATCAGTTTTGATCAGATTTGATTACCTGATTTCTTGGTTTAAAAACATTTTTGTTTATCTTTTAAACTAATATCTTTGCAATATCTTGTCTACAATTTCTTTATTACATTTTTAAAAGTTATTAGACATTGTTTACTAGGAATGCTTGAGATTCAGATGTCCCCTTAATTCAGGAGTAACTTCATACTCCTAAGGAGCTGTGTTTTGAAGTTGTTATTTATTTTTTACCAGCTTTGAGTTTCTCAGCAAACTGCTGTCTTTCTGGTTTGTCACATATGGACATTAAGCTCAAAATTAACATTGGCAACTATATTAATTTTATTTTTGACCAATCCATAGTTGGTTATCCTTGTGTAATTTACCTTTTATTGTCAATATGGTGTCCAAACATCATTTGCTTATCCTGCAAACTTTAGCCCTATTTGGGTCATTTGAAATGTCTGAGCATTTATATTTTCATTGTCAGGAAAAAAAGAATATTCATAGCTTTTATCGTGTATTTTTGATTACTACTTTCATTACTCTTTACAGAGGGTTAAAACAAGAAAAGATAATGAGAATGCATTGCTGTTTTACAATTTGAGACTTCTCATTGTCTGAAATGCCTCAACACTAAACTGCACATTCATTTTGGCACAGTTCCAGAATTACTGTGATTTGGCACAGAGTTCAGAATTTATGTCTGAATGTATTTTGTTGCTGTAACTGGGCAAAGGCTTGACTAATCACGTGAAATGCAGGGACCTTTAATGCAGGGGCCTTTAACGCAGGCTAAATAAACATGGCTATTGACAGGACTGGCTCTTCAGAATGAATTTTGCCTGCCTTCAGGTGTTTCTGTAGTATCTCTAATAGTATTGTCCTCTCAACATGGCAAAAAGTACCTTTAGATTAGTACCTTTAGATTTGTAGTGTTTTTTCTTCTGCGAAGCAAGATCTGAAGTAGAACCTGGGCTTTGTATAAAGCCAAAGTTTTGTTAAAAATGTTTTCTGTGCTTTTGAAATGTCTATTGGTGGCAAGTGTTAAAGGCAGGAGCAATTACTATAAATGATTTGTTACAGATTGGATTTTTGATTTTCCGTAGCCAGTCAGATAGTAACTGTGACCCAGTGAAAACTTGGGAGACTTGCCTTAAAAGGCAAGATGTGCACATTTAAAGTCTCTCTTCTTTCTGTAGAGAAAGTAGTAAAATGCTGCCGGTTCTTTTTTTATCTGGTACATTGAATTCTGAGAAGGCACTATTTCGGAAGGTATGGAAACTCTGAAGAATCGATAGTCAGCTACTGGACTTGATGTTGGAGAAAGCAGTCTTGAAGACCCCGTGCCAGACTGGTAGAAGCAAAGGGTTTTTAAGTCTCACATCCCTGCTTTAACACATTGTGTGGCTGACACAGACATTCTGCTGGCGATGACTCTGTTGGCTTTCCTCCAAAGCCTGAGCATTAATTAACGTACTTGGGGACTCATGAAACATTCTTCATAATGATAGGCAATTGCTTTAAATCATTTGTAACGCAAATGATTTACAACAGCCTCAGATTTTTAATAAGCCTTGGCACTAATTGGTGAACGTTAGCTTGCTGTTTCTGTGTTCCCAGGCTAGTAATCCAAGGAAGCTGATTTCTAGCAAAGCTTCAGAGGAAGAAATAGAAATGCTTTAATATGTGTCCTGGTACCTTATTGACACCTTCAGCTGTCACATCTTTGGAGGCAGGTGACCAAATAAAACTTGGGTCTAACATGTTGTAAAACTAGATTCTTTCTGCTTTATCTTTCACAACAAATTGAGAGGAAAGGAGCTAGAAGTGCTTGAGAGGCTAGTGGCCGATTGTTTGGGGATTACTTGACTTCGGGGTATTGCTTTTGAGATGAATGTTCATTTCCTTACAATTTCTTAATGCCCTGGGGTAATGTAAAAGCTGGGCTGTGTTGCAGGCTTCGTTGCAGTAGTGGGTGTAGTCGGCATCCTGCTGGATTCAGCATTGTGAAGAGATGCATGCATGGCTCGGATGAAGTTTTTTAGATTCTGAAAAGTTAAAAATAAACCAAAATGAAGGAGATTTTGCTAACCATTTCAGCCATTCGTTCTCATGTCTGAGCTGTGAGGTGTTTTCTCCTAGTGCTTTGAGAGCTAAGCCTGAGAAATGCATCAGCTGATACTTGTAGCTGGACTAGCGTTCTTCTCTCCACAGTCTGACACACCAGAATGAGATAACAGGACTTGAACTTCAGTATGTGTAGCCATGAACTAACTTGGAAGTGAACATGCAGTGTCATGAAGCTGTCGCTGACAATTACTTTTTTCTTAACCTCGAACAATATTTCTGAATTACAGTTGCCTTACTTTTAAAGCAAACTTAAGATGAATGTTTTATGATGTTGTAGCCGGAAAGGCCCAATACATCTTGCGGCCTCTCAGTTTTCTCCCATCCTTATCATTACTAGATAACGTGAAGGCTGCAATGAGTATTTTGGTCCAAAGAAACAAACAGATTTCATGCTCCTATTTTAACATATTATATAGCTGGCAGCTTACTGGCCATTCTGCTAAGACAGCACTGTAGACCATTCCTTCAAAGCCTGAATGGTAATTTGGAGAATTTAAGGTTCATGGCCAAGCAATATGAGATGCTCTTCAACAGTCATACCTCTTCCTTCAGAGGACACCAAGTGCTATTCATTGCCTCCTACATGTGCAGGTTGATTAATAGTAGCCTTTTTGTTTGGGCCTCCGTGGACTTGTTAAAGATGATGATACTGTTGGTTTTGATTGTGCCTGTGAAGTCCCTCAGTTACCAGCTGTAGATCAAGATTTGACAGCTTGCCCAACTTACATTGATTTCTTTTAACACAGATACATTCTGAAAACAACGTATTTCACTGTGGTAATGGAACTATCATCAGTCTTTTGGAAAGTGCAGTTGGTGGGGTTTTTAATGCATTTTTTAATGTTAAGACTAACACAAAATACATCAGTGCTTTATACTAGTGCTTTGGCACAAACACTGGGTTATTCGGGTTGTGTACATCAAGGAGGGTATCACTGCAAACTAATGCTAATGGTAAGAGAATGATCACTTCATAGATGTCAAGTGCTATAGTAAGGATGTTTTTTAAGGGGAGTGTAGGGTAGTTGCTGCTGTGTTTACATAGAAGAGGGCTGTTAGAGTTCGTGTTCTTTGATAAATATCAGTTAATAGAAGGAAAAGTTTGCTTTTTTCTATGCAGTAGTTTGTTGTTGGTCCATCATGCTCTTCTTTCTGCCTCTGCCTGAACCCAAACCCCCTCACAGCCTGACAGAAATGTTCGCTTACGCAGCTAGCCCTGCTTCAGTTTGTACTACATCCTTCTCCAGTGTTCGGCTGCGACATCAGAAGTCGATGTCCATGTCAGCCTCTGTGCACACGAAGATGATGTTGCCTCCAATAGACAATGGCGCAGATAACTTCAGGCCTATGTAAGAACCTGAAATCGTTGTGAAACTAACTTACACCCACTGCTTCTTAACTTTGTGCTGTGGAATTTTAGTCCTAGATTGTTCTAGTATATATTGCCCACAAGATGTGTGTTTCCTCATTTTTTTTAGTCTTGTTTACATTTGTCTTGTGGTGTGTCAGGCTGTCTGTGACATAATCCTGCAATAATGAACCTTATTTTTTTCCCTAGTGTTAGGAGTATTGGACATTCCATATTGTCAAAGTTTGTGGGAGACTTTAACTGTGTATCCTGAAGGACTTCACTACTTGGAGTGGTTCGCTTGTAGAGAATTGTGTGGGATACTTCCAAATTAGGAAGATTTTCAAAGATGTATATATAGAACGTGCAGGGAGAGACACTAAAGTTGCCTATCGCTTCTCTTTCCTGGGAGGAAACTTTACTCATCTATTCTTTTATCAGTCTTCTCAGTGAAACATTGTATGCCTAGATTATCTGGTCTTTTCCAGGATACTCCTGTTGCATTTTTCTGCCTATGTAGGTTTCTGTTTCGGCAGCCTTTTAATCCTAACTTCTTACAAGTTTTGATTCCATACAGTGCTGTAATAATGTTGGTATTTCCAACCCTGGCCTATATAAAAGTGTCTGCTTATGCTTTACTGTAGAATGTAGTGTTTTGTGTTTCCTGCAGAACCGTAGTGCTTCTGTAAAGAAGTTCTAGCATTGTTTCTTGTTTTCTGCTCTAGCACTATTCCCGATCAAAGAACTCCTGTTGCTTCAACTCACAGCATTAGCAGTGCCACCACACCTGATCGTATTCGTTTCCCCAGAGGAACGGCTAGTCGGAGCACTTTCCACGGCCAGCTCAGAGAGCGACGTACTGCTACCTACAACGGACCGCCAGCCTCCCCCAGTCTGTCCCATGAAGCAACGCCACTCTCACAGACTCGAACCAGGGGTTCCACTAATCTATTTAGTAAACTAACTTCAAAACTAACAAGAAGGTAAGCCCCTTAAAATGGTAATGCAACATTTCCTTTTTATCGGGTAGTAGACATACCTAGTAGTTCATTGCTTAGGTTGTTTTGCACACATTCTCTGAAGAATGGCTTAACTATTTCTGCAACTTGGCTTATGATTTTTTCGTAGTTCTTTTTGGTTACAGAAGCCATTTGTTTTTAGCAGTTGAATCAAATGGGATAAAAAGTGAGACAGCTTGGTCCGTGCTGATTTTTCTGTGCTCGTTGTCCTTATGTCTGAGGTACAAATGCTGCAGAGCTGAAAGGTTTCAGCTCAGTTCAAAAGCTGCTCACTCTGACTGCATGGTCTATCAGTAGACAACATGAACTAGGATCCCAGTCTTGATATTTAATGTAGCATTAGAAGCTCAGGTTGTGTTTCTCAGTCACTTATACTGTTAATATTTTCAGAAAACCCTTGCTGGCAACACATGAATAGAAATATCACAGGTGAAGGGGTAGGGGCAGGAGACAAAAGCTTCTTTTGGCAGTAGTGCTAGTATAGGTCATATTAAAGTAAGGCAATACTGTGGTTTCAGTCTAGGCAGGAGTCTGGCCAAACCTTGAAAAACTTACTCCTATTTTGACCTTTAGTTCATGTGCAGATTCTGGTTTTGGTGTGCAGGTGTATTGGTCTGGCCAAAGCCTAGCTTAAGCAGGTGTTGTTTCTGCACTAACAGTTTTTATTCTAATTGGTCTTCTAGTTGCAAATCCACGTATGATTTAAATTAGTTCCTACAAACCCTAAAATTGAAACCCACCTATTTTCCTTCTATATTTAAAACCTGTTGGTTCACATACCGCATACTTCAGACCACTCTGATATCCACAGCTTGTGTTTGCAGAAGTGAGGGTGTGTTTATCTTTGCCTTAAGATAATTTCCATGCTTTTACCCTCCTCATCATGTGAAACTTTTTGGAATACATCATTCTGATCTTGGCCCGCTTGCTTCTGTTTTAGGTTTATATCACATCAGCACCAAACCATTTCCTTCCTGTCTGTTCTGTGACTATACATGCCTCCCTCTCAGCATCCTCTTCATAGTCTCGTATTCTTACAAAACAATGTTAAGCCAAACTCCAGTTTTTCACAACTGGCTGATTTCAATTTAGAGAATGAATTTCTTTAAAAATGTAGAAGTTGTTTCTGTGAAAAACGAAAACGTGACAGCCTAGCGCTTGGTAAATGTTTTACCCTGCTCAGCTCTCTGCCAGCTAACACTTTCCTGGTGGCTGGTTTTTTTTCTTCTTTTTCTGGAGAGAGAGATAAAGGATTAATTTTAATTATTTTTTTTTTAAATAATTAAATCATCTGCTTTTTGTCAAGTGAGGTCTTAATCAAAGACATCCTTTTGGCATGTCTTTCTTTCTGTACTTTTGTTTGTAATATCCTTACTTAATTTTCCATCTGACGTTCCAAATGCGGACGCTCAAACTGTGAACATGCAAGCTTTTCACTTGTGCTGCTGGAACATACTATTTAGCATTGTGTGTCACTCGGGTGTTCAGGCAGCATTCAAACTTCTGTCATTACCTCCGAGTTTCAGCTTTTGCAGTGCAGTGTGGTTTTCTTGAAGAAGCTTCTCCCCGCTACTTTTGGCAATAGTTTAAATTCCATCTGGACTTGATGAAATAACGTGCAGTTGTAACACAATAGCTCTGTTGCAGATGGTTGAGTTTGCACTTGGAGGACCTCTTAGGTTGGGGCTCTGTTATACTAGGTGCTGTACAAACTACTAAGGAGGTGGATAGTGCCATCAAAGGACATGGTTATGTTTCTTCTCTTTAAATAAATTAAACCTTAAAACCTGTTAATTTATTCTAGCATTCCTTAGGGGGGATCAGAATCCTTTTGATTATGAACTACTTATGTTCTGGTATAGGCAATTGTTACAGCTTCTGCCACTAAATGAAATACTTAAGGCAGTTTTTGGCACAACGTGGCTGACCTAATGTTATGAAGGAAGGAAGAAACCTAACTCTGAAGATACTCAAGATCTAATTATAGTAGAGTTACTGATGTTTGCTTTCTATTTGAAATGAAGAAAATCCAAACATATTTTTATGTGGCTTTGCAGATTATGAGTTTTAAAGTGTTTTGACACCAGTACATTTTTTTAATTCATAATAACTACTGGTGGCATATTTCCCAGAAAAATTAAGTTCGGAAGTCGCAATGCGAAGAGTTTGACTCTTTCAGACCTTAAATAATCATCTGCCTAATCTCAGAATGTATTGAAGTGTAATTTCATTGTGCGTTTTAAATGAGATCTTTTTGCATGTTTCGCTCTAAATGGCTATTTCAATTTATTTTGTACAAACCTTTTTGTTAATTATTATTTTGGCTTAATTTCTTTTAGAAACATGTCATTCAGGTTTATCAAAAGGTAGGATTTATTTATATTTAAAAAAAAAAAGTGGCTCCTGCAATTAACAACAGATTTGGCTTTCTAGCCTTGGTTTTCTGAAAACTAAACTTTCTGCTGAGAACTAAATACTTTCTTGAGAGGAAAGCATAGAATAAATCCATTAACTCATGATGATACTTAAGAATCTGTGGCACCTGTATAACAAGATGCTAAGCATGCCTTGTGAATTCTTCTTTCTTTGATAGAGTTGGTAGTACCAAAGTAATTCTGTTCTCTGTACTAATACACTTAGCATGCTTATGTTTGAAGAATGAGGTGTTTGATAACAATGATGAAAGTATAAACAAAACATAAGGTTACAAGCAAATAAAGGTAAGTGATGCTAAATTTACATTCTCTATCTCTTTGTTTTATGATACTTTAAAAAAAATCAAAGTGTTGTCTGCAGTTGATAAAATAGAAAGCAAACTGAGCATAGTTGTCAATCTAACAGTTTTGTACAGAAGATTGAATGAAGATGCAATGGCTGTGTATTTTAAAATGGGATGCATTCGCTGAAGTGAATTGCAACTGAAGTGCAAATAGAGCGCTTCAGTTGTAAACAAAAAGTGTAACATCTGTGCAAATTTATTAGCAAAAGGGAAAAGCTTGGAAGTTTGATTCACATTTCAAGCCCAAAGGATTTAATTCAGTTTTACAATTTGGGAATGAATCAAGCTGCTATATATCTTGTTAATCCATTATGACTCGTGAAAGTTGGTTATACAATCTTGATCCGTAGGTAAATTTTCCAGCAGAATTTTGTAATACTCTGTTTAGTTGTATCATATCTTGGAGCTTCTTAAAGGGTGGTACTTTCAATTTCCAACTACTGATCAAAAATAAGGAGACAGGGCCAAAAACCAGACATCTGTTTTAACTTTTAAAATGCAAGGCTATGCACGTGATTGTAATTTGAAGTTTGTCAGATCATTTCAAGGAAATACTTAAATTAAGGAGGCCTGAGATACGTAAATTGCTGCCTAAATTTGGGGTTGTTGTGTACAATCTGAGTCTAAAGGTACCCTACCTGATTAAATGAGTAAATTCCACACCACAGTAATAATAATCAGGGCTCTTCCAGACATGCCTATGTTTAGAACTGGTGTTGGTTGGGTTGTCTGGCATTGTCACAGCTGACTTGAGAAAAGGAACATGCACCAACCGTTAGTTAAGGAAAGAAACCATCCAACACGGTATACAGATGAAACTATGCAGCGGCAATAGTTTTAACCCAGCCTGTATCGTGAGCTTTGGGGTGCATACCACTTTGTGAGACGGAGCTTTCGTCTCCCTGTGGTCACGTTCCTTGTAAAACAAAGGATTGTCCTCTGTGCAACCTTCACAACTGGATGCATATAAGTTTGTTACTCTGCTGCTCTGAAGAAAGATGAAAAATGCTAATATGAGTACAGTTTTAAACTAGAAGGTTGCTGTTCAAATTTGAGACTCCAAAAAGGTAATTTTTTTAATCATTGCTAAAAATTTTCCTTTGACTTGAGGCCAGGAATCTCAGACTATTGTGGAAATAGCTGCTGCAGCTTCCGTGAATATGTCTTTTGGATAAGAGATCTGCAAAGTCTTACACCACCTACACAGGACTAGACTGTGCTTTTTAAATTCTGTTTTAAGTGTGCGTGGTGTCCCTCCATACCTGATCTGTATGTCGGTACAAAATTAAATTTAAAATGTTGGGCGTTTTGGCAATTTCTTCTTGCTTTATGTGCTATGAATCTTACCTAAACTCACTGTCTTTAAGTTTAAGAACTTCTGTAACTCAGTAGCATATATATATAGTACTGCAACATCATTTCAGGGAGCTGAACAAAATTAGATAATCAGTCACTCCGTTTTAAACTACTGAGTTCTAATACTGTACTCGGTACACAGAGGTATAAAATATATATATACACACGCATATATATATCTTGTACCATGCACTGTCCTTGCCAATCTGCATATTGTGGAAGTCTAACTTTTTTTCTGACAGCAAAAATCACTTTCTGTGTTCTGGATTTTATTGCAGCATCTTTTCTCCATTTCCATAACTTCATCTTATTTTAGCGCCTTGCACTTTTTGCTGTTTTTCCATATCTTTTTAGACAGTTTTCTTTGTGTTTACTTGAATTTTGAATGCAGAGTGTACAAAGATGTAAAGAATAGAAAACACAGCGTAACTCAGGACAGATGTATGGAAACATTCTTATTTGTGAAAGCCTTTCACAAACCGTAAAGGAGATAGTGTATAGGCATTGCATGACAAATGAGAACATAACTTGCCTGTATATTTGTTCCATTCTCAAGACCAAGGAGCGTCTTGGTCTGTAAAAGCAGAAAATTTAGAACATAAACTAGCAATTTGCGGTTCCTGCAGAAGCAAAGATTGTATTAGCAGCGAGGAGGCCTCAGGGCTGCATCTGACTTGCAGACCCAGCGAAACAATACTGGCAGTACAGTAAGTGTCTGTTCCCAAAGCAGCAGTGCTGGGCTGTAGAACTGGACCATAATCATGTCCTTCGTGAAGGAAGGAGCATCTAGAGAGGCTGGCACAGCTCTCCACAGCTTGGCCTGATGGCTCATATTTGAAGATGCGTGTCACCAAAGCAGTTCCTCGTGCTAAATGAACAGAACACTGATGCATGGAAAAACTGAACAAAGTAAGGATTTTCTGAGAGGCTGCCATGAAAGAGTGTTTATTATTTCAAAGTGGCAGGTATTTTGTAAATAATGGCCTTTCTTAGAGTACAGTGGTTTAGAAACTGAATAGTTTGGCTTAATTTCAATGTGAAAAGGGTCTAAGAACATCCTTAGGGATTTTCCCCCCCCAGACTTTTCTGGATGGATTCCAGTAACAGTAAGATTATTCAATGTTGGGGAGACCGGTTATGCTCTCGTTTTCTACAACCTTTGGCAAGTTTCAAAAAAAAAAAAAAACAAAACAACAAAAAAACCAAAAAAACCCAAAAAAACCCAAAACCAAAAACCACAAAAAAAATCCATAAATGCTTGCAGCTCTTAAAGCTGCCATCTTCCACTTCGTAGGAATACAGTAGGCTCTTTAAAGTTCAAGTACTCCCAATTTTTCAGTTGAGCAGCGTCTTCAAACTTGTTGCTTGCTTTGCCGAGTAAAACGAGCCTTTCCCAGATCATCTGAAAGGTGTGGATTTGTTCAGTTGGTACACGTGAAGGTTTCTCCCTTCCCACCTACCCCCTTCTCTGTCCTACAGAGTGTTTGTAAAGGATGAGTTCATGGACTATATATGGAGACCTTAAAAATCCTTTTCTACCTTCTCCTATATATCCACCACAGATAAGGAGCACGAGATCTCAGGAAAATAACTGCCATTAAAAACCCACTTTGAAGCACTAGAATTAGCTGAGGACTTGTCAGTTGTTTTCTTCTCGTTATCTTCCCTATACTTTTTGCTCGTGACAGCCATTCATTAGTCAGTGGCCAACGTTTCCTAGCAGAGACCCCGTCATACCGTGTGCTGTGCAGTGCCTCAGAGAGCAGGGTTCTGATCGGATGCTGTTGTGACAAGCAGCTCATAGCTGAGTGACTTACTGCTTTCTTAATCTCATTTCTATTGCAGTAGCAGCGTGAATTTTGAACGAGGAGCAGGCTCCATAGCCTGTACAGCGAGTGCTGCCACCATGCTCCTCACGGTGCTAGCACAGCATCTGTTCTCTTGTGACAGGGACTGCGCAGTCATCTTACAAGCCTGTTCCCTCGCTGCAACCCTCCAAAGGAAGGAAAGGAGGAAATTAAGCCTTGTAACACCCCACAGATCCTGATATAAATACCGCTGCACATTAAAAAATAAGCTTACTGTCTTACATTCCTATCCCTAGACACCTGTCAACCAAACTGTTTTAATAATTTACGTTATTCAGTGAAGCCATGTACTAGCTTAGAGTAGTCTTGATAAAAGCCTTATAAAGGCAGCTTCCCTGTGAGCAGAATTAACGCTGAGATGTCAAACCATGGTGCTGCACTAATGGGAAGGTAGAGGAAGATGGTTTTGCCCTTAATTCTGCTTGATACCGGGCTTTCAAAAAACGGTAGTGATCAGTAAGGTAGCTTCAAGCCATGCAAGAAGACAGCAGGCTTAAGCTTAGTCTTAGATGTGGAAGATGCGTCAATGTGGGAATTAATAGGATGGAGTTACCACAGCTTGAGAAATCTTGCATTTACGTCTAAACTTTTGTTAAAATGTATATGCATCTTGTTCTTTTGTGTTAAGGTATTTGGTATTGTTTAAACACCTAATACCTCAGATCTGATGTGCATGTAAACACACAGGATGACCAGACTTGTCTGTAAATAAGGTATCTTTTCAAATATATATTATATTCCCAGATAAAACTTTTAAATATCGTTAGCCTAAAAATAGTTGGGAATTATTTCTCTTTTAGGAGGTACTTACGAAATAATACAATAACTTCAATACACTTTGTAACTTCGGTTTCACATTTTCTGCTTTTAGAAGTTCAGCTTTATTCAGCGAGTTCTACAGTATTAATAGATGTAAACATACGTTGTAAAAATTATGATGGTCTTTTTAAAAACTGTAGTTTATAGACTTCCATTTGGTTTGACAATATTTATATTCTGAATTTGGTCTAACCTACGAAGTTCTTTACATCTCTGTTGCTTTGTATTTTAATACACCTTTGGTATGATTGCAGTATCTTTTAGCAGCTACTCAGATATTGTATATTGTAGTGTAAGATTTGTCTTCTCTTTCCCACTTCCTTTTGCTTCTGCATTCTTTTCAATGAGGCTCCCGACTGAATATGAGAGGAACGGGAGATTTGAGGGCTCAAGGTGAGGGTAAAATTTTTGTTTAAAATGTTACGTAGGTGAGTTTGAACCTTTCTCCCCTTGATTATGTGGCATAGTGGCTTCAGGCAGCAGCTTTTGTTTTGTGTAAGGCTTTGAAACTAAACAAAGAAGCATTTCTGTCTGCAAAACAGCTATTAAAGCACTGACTGACTTGGTTCTAAACTTTCATCTTTCCTGTTGCCTTTTCCCCTGTGTGTTTGTTTGGGTTTGTTTTTTTTTTTTTTTTTTTTTTTGCATTTTAGTCATTACAATTTGCTGTTGTCTTGTAGATGTCTAGGTAAGTGGTCTCTAGCGAGGCTGCAAATGTGTAGGATAACCACTGAAGGGTGATAAGATATTTCTCATCTCCAAAATCACGGATAGTTAAACAATATTTTTCATGTTATACTCTTCTTCCAAAATCAGCATATCAAAAAGTACTAGAAATGATCAGACTTGTGCTGGTTCTGCCAACTGTTTTCAAGTAGAAAAAGCTTTCAAAAATAAAATGAGCATTGAATGAAAGTTGGTGTTCCCCCTGCCCCCTTACAGCCTTATTAAATTAAAACCTTAAAGTTAAAACCAAGTACTCTTTAGTTTGCTTGCTGGATTTTATAACATCTGGCAAATCACATAGCTGGATTTGACAGCATAGTGCTGTGACTCTCACAGTTACTGGAAGCCTTTCTAATAGAAGGTAAAATTATGAAATAGGTTATCTTTGAGAAATATATTCATTTGACCTTCCTATCACTTTTTGTTTAACTTTTTCATAATTTTCTGCTTAACGGTGGTAGAAGGAAAGCATTGTGTAACCAGAAGTTCATTGCCAACTATTTTAAAGAGCAGCTTGACTTAATATTGTAAGTTGAACTTTGAAGCTCAACATGAGACCTAAACTGCATGGTTTGGGGTCAGTTAGGTGAAGTATTTTCAGAAAATATTTAAGCATGACAGTCAATATATTTCAGTCTCTTGTCCTGCGGACAAGTAAATTTGAAGAGGCGACTGACAGCGTGCAAATACTCATAAAGCAAATCTACCATATTTTTTCCCTGGAGGTCCAAATGTAGTTCCTCATTCTTTAGCTGCGTGACCACTGATTTTAATCGAAGTGGAAGAATCATTGCAAACTAGAAATTTCTGGAACGTTTCTTTTCTTTTCTTTGTCCTATATAACTTTATTTATCCTTACCAAAGGAAAAGCTTTTTTTATTTAAAAAAAAAAAGTTGCAGACTTGGGAAAGGTAGCATCAATATTTTGTGCTTTATCTCTTAAAACTGTGACAGTAATAGTAACCCTCTTATTTGCCATCTTTTCTAACAACGTTGAGGAGGTGTCCAGTACCGACGTCCAGCTCTCCTTCCTGCATTTCAGCCTCAAAGGCACTCAGCTGCATAGCTTGTAGCAGCAAAAGATTTCATCGCTTTACCTCTATCAGTCATTGGTATCAAACAAATTACTGACCAACTTAGAGACAAAATATCTCCTCCCTGTTGAAGGTAACCCCAGTAGCCTACAATGTGGTGGGTCTCTAGTGATCGTCTCAAACACCAGTGCCGGAAGGCCAGAGTGAAACCGAACCTGCCCAGAACCGGGTGGCAGTAGGTGTGCGACCCCTGGCAAGGTCCCCCAGTCCTGCTGTCCTTCCTCCTGCTTGCACCTAGCTACTGTGGGTCTCCGTGGGCCCTCCCGGCGCTTGGTCTCCAACCTGCTGCACAGGAGGAGGTGCAGAGGAACCCCCAGGACCTTTCTGCATGGGCTCATCCCCATTGCGTATGGGTGGGCACCTCCCATGGGCTGGCACTCCCACCACCTGGGCTGAGCACCCTTTTGTCACAAGTCACCGCTATTTGAATGTTCCAGAAACTTCTAGCACAGAGCTGGTGTTTCAGCTGTCCACGTGGCCTGAGAATAGGGCTTTGAGCAGAACCTGCCTTAAAATCGAGTCGTAGGTGATGCATGTAGTTCTGCCTCCACAAGGTCATTTCCCTCCTGCTCCTGACTCCAGTGACTTCCAGTTGTGTCACCCGTCGTACCATACCTTCGTTTCAGCCCCAACAGCTAATGCTTTACCTTGACTGTGTGTTTGTACAGCAGCTAGGAAAGCGGGGCATTGCTCGCAGCCAGAGCCTCTAGATGCTGCTCTAATACCAGTAGTGTGCGTTTAGTTTGCTTCACTAACATGAAACGCGGAGGAAGTAGCTGGCCCTGCTAACTAACACATTCCTGTCTTTCAGCCGCAATGTAGCTGTGGATCAGAAGGACGAGAACAAGGAAGCCAAGCCTCGGTCGCTGCGTTTTACCTGGAGCATGAAAACCACCAGCTCCATGGATCCCAATGACATGATGAGGGAAATACGAAAGGTCCTGGATGCCAATAATTGTGACTATGAACAGAGAGAGCGTTTCTTGCTTTTCTGTGTCCATGGAGATGGGCACGCGGAAAATCTTGTACAGTGGGAGATGGAGGTGTGTAAACTGCCAAGACTGTCCCTGAATGGAGTTCGCTTTAAGCGGATATCGGGAACATCCATAGCTTTTAAAAACATTGCTTCCAAAATTGCCAATGAGTTAAAGCTGTAACAAGAAAAATAGTTAAGTTGTAAATTAGTTAGCAATTTCAAGTGGTTTTGAGAATTCCAATGGAAATGTATAGAATAACATTTAGGCAATAACTTCTGCATCCTTCTGAATAGTGATATTAAAAAAAAAAAAAAAAGCTGCTGAGCTGGGAGGGAGAGTTGGACTTTTTTATAAGTGCACTACAGCATTAAAGTTGCCTACTATGTAAAATATTACCCCTTCTGCTTTATTTCCATTGCTCCTAAGTCTTTGACAACAAATTGAAACACAGAATATATTCATTTAAATATGCCTCCTGTTTGTGTGGACGTGTGAATGTACAGTATGTGTGTATAATATATAAAGTATTATATGTAAACAATTCATTTACAACATCGAGCTGTACCAGTACCTCTTTTTGGGCTAATTTTGGTGCTAAAAATTGAAATGGCCAAGGAGGAAACACTTGAGTTAATATTTAAAATAACTGAAGCGATAACCAGTAAATACAGGTTTACAGTTCACTGCTGTGTTAAGAAAAAAAAAAAAAAGTGTGTGAAGGGTTTGGATTTACGGTTGTGAACATTATTAGGTCTGTTTTCTAAGTAGATCTCATGAGATTATTAAAAATTCACTTTTACTGAGTAAGTCTTGCATTATATTTTGCCCACCTATTTATTATTTAAGTCTGAATCAAATTTTTAAAATGTAGTTGATTTGTGCATTAAAATTTGGGTAAACGCTTCCATTCTTCTGCTTCTGCTAAACTACTAAAACTGTATCTTTGTTCTTTTGGCTTATGAGTATTGATCGCAGCTAAGAACACTCTTCCGTTGTTCCACCGTTCCTCTGCAGAATGAGGCAGTCTAAAAGGATGTGCTAAATGCTTACTAGTGACTTTTTCTTTCAGACCAAGTTCTCCACGTTAGACTAGGTCAGACTGATACAAAGCAGAAAAGGACTCTCAGATACCGACTGTACTTTGATGCAAGTCGCTACGTCCGAGTCGGTGCCGTTCTGAGGTATTGCTGCACGCGTGGCAATGCTTCCCTTTGCATTCTGGGCGCGCACGGTATTGAAACCCAAAAGTGGGAATTAAATTGGCTACTGATCTCTGTTGCAATGTCAAACGTGCTAAACTACAGCCACAGGCAGTAGCAGTTCAAACTTCTCCTTGCAGCTCTCTTCCAGCGTGCTTCCACTTGGCTCTGGTTGTATTGCTTTTGATGGCTTTATGCCAGTTGTGTCTCTGGCTTCTGCTGCGGAGGGAGTCTGCTGTCGCTCTTTTAACGTGCAGTGTGGAAACCCGCCCTGGATGAACTCTCTGGTGGCCAGCTAGCTTTCTGTAGGACGCGAAGCTACTCTGGGATGGTCCCTGCTTTTTAACCATCACTGTGGTGAGCCGGATTTGATTTTTGCAAACTAGAATGAAGAGATTTCTTCATGTGTTGTTTCCTACTGATACTCAGTTTATTTCACCAAGGACTTCTGTAGATAATATCCTGCGTTATCTACTTGACTTTTTGTATTAATGTTTCATGGTTATATTTCAGTGAAGCACTTAAGCATGTACTTAACATGTGCTTTAAACTGGAGCCTAAATTTGCATTTTAAATTTGCAGTGAGCTAATAGTTATTCATAGTACACAGTTCAGATTTGACCCGAGGTGAAAACGCAAAATCCTTAATATTTTGCAGGTTAGTTCTTGTGATCTGTAGTCTGTGAAGGCAGCAGACTTCCCCTCTCTTTCCCAAACTAAGCATTGATATTGATTATGCTAGTTTAAAGGGTAATCATGGTTGTTAAATGTAGTAAATATTCCTGAATTTGCATTTTATTCTCTGTATATTCTGTGTCACACCATGGCTTGAGAACTCCAGGTGCTACTGGAGTTCAGTTGGCTTTCAGTGCTCTGGCCGTACCTGTGCTGCTCAGTATGATTTTTTTTTTTTTTCCATGAAAATTCCATTTTGTAATAGCAATAAGACATTTCAGGGCAGTCGTACTTTCTCAGGTGAATGGTCACCTGTCCTTTCACTTCCTACGTTTTAAGCACTCCTCCCAATGTATTTTTTTCACCTGGCAGTGCACTTTGTTGTCTGAACTGAAAAAGTGTTCTGATAAAATGATGTAAATCTGTATTCGATGGAAGTTCCAAAAGATTTCATATTAAATGTTTTCTGAAATACTGTCTTCCTACTTCACCTGTTAAGTATGTAATTGTTTCTAGAAAGTGCACCAGTATCATACTTTGGATATTTAAAGTTTGTACTGAAGTATTTTTCTTAAAGTGTTCTCAAAAGGTTCTTTCAGAGTAAATCTGTATTTGAGGTATTAAAAAAAAACAAAAACAAACCAAAACCCAAAGAAATAATCAGAAACAGATTTTTAACAGATTCCTTACCAAATGCCTTGTAAAATTACCAAGTTGCAAGAACATACCCTTGTTTCTTTAGCATACCGCATGCTCACTCTTCAAGCCTCTAGGAGTTGCCTGGAAAGGAAAACGGCTTCCTTCAGATCTCCAAACCAAAGATGAACTTCTTCCCGGACACAGGCCTTTTACGTGTTCATATTCCTTGGGGATCTGTGTAGGTTGATCAGCACTGCTGGTGATACGACTCTGCAGACCTACAGCTGGTTTTTCTCTCCTTAAGGGACAAGTTTTAAAAATAATCGGAGGTCAATATGTGGTGAGGAGGTAGCAGCAGGACTAGGTGTTTTGAGATGCGTGTCTAGCACCCGAGAAGTGGTTTTATGCAATGGTGTGACTGGTGTCCCAGAACGCGTGGTCCGAGTGGTCTGTTGGGGGGTGTTTGTAATGCGCTTGTGACTAAAGGTTTGCATCACTAAAACCCGTGTCACCCAGTTCTGAAGGTGTCTCTTGGTTGCTGGATCTGGCAGGGAAAAATGCCAGTTTGGTTTGGGAGTTGACTGCTTTAAGTTAAAGGTTTTTAGAGATACGTACATTAAAAAAGAAAATCTGAACACTGAGCAGGACCAAACAAGTTCAGATAAACTTTTTCTCCTGCAAACCTTTCGGGCACTTGGGCTTTCTAAAACTTCAGTCTGTTTTACCCCTTCAGAAGGTCTAAGGTCCTCAGCCATGTTGAAAAGAAGTAGAGGGAGGTGGGTTAGAGGAACAGCTAGTCCTGCGAGTCTTAAGTGTTTCACATGCTACTTTTATTCAAGCTACAGCATCTGGTCCAATCTTAGTGGGTTCAGAGATTTTTAGTACAGGTTTGCTCAAGGTTCACCTTTTTCTCTTGTACTACAGTGAAATTTCAAGATCAAATGTAGGTGAGATACTGTATCCCAAATTTTTTTTAATCGCAGCATTTTTTGTCAAGGTAAATTTAAAAAAAAAAATATCTGAAATTAGTATCCATGTGTTTATGTTAAAGAAATTAAGTCAGAGGTTCAGGAGTCCTTCTAGTCATATGGAAAGATTGTAGCAGATCTGGAATATAAGTAGAGCTCTCTCCCAATTCAGTTAAAAGCTCAGATGTACATGGGCCTATTGGGATAAAGTGTAGAGACTTTTAATCGGTCTTTCCCACAGTGTGCTGTGGATTGCAATTTAATTACGACTGCGGCCAACCCAGAGAACTTTGGGTTTTCTCTGCTAAGCCCTGGTCTGGAGCAGCAGTACCTCCACGGCCACTTCAAGGTAAAACCCGCTTGGTTCTGCTGGTTTCGGTTCCCGAAGGGGCCGGGTACCTCGCTGGCTACGGGCAGAGGCCGCCTCCAAACTCGTGGCGTTCTCTATCAGATACAGAGAACGCCACGAGTTCGGAGGCAGCCTCTGAGATACAGAGAACTGTGTGGCCAGCTGTGGGGGATACTAATGTAAAATTTTATTCTCCAATTCACATTGCAGATGTTTAGGAAATATGGCATACGGTTTTGCAAAGCTGGTCCTACTGTAGATTAATGTTTAATTTTAAACATGTAGATTTTCAGTTTCCCATATTTCTAACTTGTCAATACAATCTCATTTCTATAAGTTTTCATAGAAAAGCCCTGGAGCTTTCCTGCAAAGATAGGCTCACGTTATTACAAATCACTGGTGCTGCCCATTAAACCCCGGATCTGACATTCTGATGAAGTGTGGTGGTGAAAATCCCACCTTTGGCAGGAATTTTTCCCACCACTAGCAGTGAATTGTTTCATTGGTCTCACCACCAACCATTACTCCATCGCTTCAGAGAAGAAACTGTTACCCAGCGAGAAGCAACCGAAGTTTTGGGTAAAAGCTCGACCTAGTGCAATTAATAGGAATTGTTTTAAAAGTCACACTTCTTCATTCCACAGGCCCATCGGTGTCCTGTGTTACAGTGGCAGTAAATGCTGAGAGAGGAGAAGTCCAAGAAACAACACAAATGTAGTAACCGTGGGTGTGTGTGCTCCTTACTTCTGACGAACTAAGCAGCAAAAAGCTAACCCTTAAACTTACTCAGCTCGATGGGTTTTTGTGTTCCTGTTTCTGCTGGTCTCTGCTTCATGCACTACCAGGTACTGCCTCCAAGGAAAGGGGCTGGATAAAGGGAGCAAAACCATGGAGTCTCTTCACCCCATGCTTCTGAAGGTGAAACAGTATGCTATTTGAAGCAAAAGAATTTGAAAGACCCTTAACTGCTCTTTTTTAGCTTTCCGAGAGTGTTCTAACCTTTGGTACAAACAGTGGGCTCTCATTCCAGCAATAACTGAGAACAGAAGCTGTGTCAATACTAAGACTATGAATCCTGTAAATATCTGTGCAGAGCAGCTGCGTTCAGGGCATTAATGGCCCTGAGTTGGGAGTTCGTCCTCACCTACAAGTGCCATTAACACCTCTTAGTGGTTGCGACTTGGCAGGTAAGATATTTATTGCAGAAAAAAATGCTTTTGCTTGGTTTTTTGCTTATGTGTGTTGAGCACTTGGAACCGTGTGTTCTGAGACTCGGATGTAAAATTAATGCGGGGCGGCCATGGTTATGGTTGCTGTGGGAACGACAGCATTGAATTTCAAGGCATAGAAATGTTGCTGTTCTCAGTCATCCCGTTAATACCCTTATGTTATCATTTAATAAAATCCTTATGCAATTCAGGGCGTAAAACCAAAATATTTACACAGTTCATGTTTCCTTGTAGTTGCTGATCACACTGAAAGTATTAGGTGAATAAAAATCAGATACTCAAATATCTCACCATGAAAATAATTCTGTTAAAGCATATGGGGATGCAAAATCGGAAAGCGAACTGCTACTGGTGTTACAATCACACAGTTTTCAATCATTTGCCTATCTGGAGGTGAAGGCCTGTTTCCTTGGAGCGTCTCTTACCAAGACCTCGGCTCAGTGCGAGCCCTGTAGTTGAACAGAAACAGCAAAGTCTTTCTAAGGACAGAATTATCCCCCCCCCCCCGGCTTACCCAGCCAAAAGGCATGAAGTGAAGTGCTTTCGCACATGTTTCCGCATAGATGGAAAAAACACCGGCCTGAGAGGAGCTTGGAGACACTTGAGAGCATCTGTTTAATTGTCCTCTGTCTGCGGTGCCCAAAGGAGCAGGAGCAGGGGCTGGCGGCGTGGGGCTGCCCAGCAGGGCCGGGGGACGGATGGATGGACAGATGGACGGATGGATGGATGGACGGATGGTTGGTCCCTC